AAAAATACTTTATTATTATATACATATATATATTATTATATATATATATATATATATATTATCGTATACCTCTCTGTAATTATTTTATTATTCTGTAATATTTGTAAATACAAATGTTCTTGCCATTCTAAATAGAAATTCATTTGAAATACTTAGTCAAGAAAGATAGATTAATATGATCAAGATATTATATTGCAATTCTATAAAAAAAAAAAAGACAAAGTAATAAGATCTGTATTTGAAAATCTATATTGCAGATAACAAGTAAACTTATCAAATGAACAGATTATTAAACAATGTTACGGGTCTAGATTAATTGAAGTTATTTAGTTAACTATAAGTCAGAGATATGCATGAATATTATATGCAAATAAGAAACAGATTAATTACATTCATATGGCTGCACGGCCACAGTAAGATCTCACATTTTATTGCTTTACTGTGCCTTCGTTCATCTTATAATCTGACAACGGTAACAAAATCGTTATCTAATCTAGACCCTAGTTAAACGACATTGTTCAATACTGTTAAGATATATGTATATATGCATATACAAAAGTGCACATACACATAGATATATACTACACATACATACATGCAACACAAGTTAATTATAACTTTACTTATTAATATATAACATTTCGTTTCGTTCAAAACGAAAATTAAATTCTTATCTACGTGTAATTAATTGGAAGGATTTATATAAATGATATTTTCTCGATTAAAACAATAATCGAATGTGAAACGTGTTATTTAAACAAAAGTACGAAGGAAATTGACATTTGATTTAATATGATAATTAATTATAAAGAGATATATAAAAAAAACACCGAGAATTATGAAAAACTTGTTCATTTAAACTGTTATCGCTAGTTCATTAAATTATATCTTCATTATTGATTAAGATTGTATACCACGTAATGTAATTATCATTATATTATACCATTCAATATTTATTTGTACTTATAGAAAAAAGAACAAAAAAACTCCAATACTAATGATATTGTATTTACAAAAGTATATACAGATATGTCTTCAGAAATCTTTGTAAAAGAGAAGAAAAACTTTGGCATGCACAAAAAGCTTGCCAATCAAATTTTTATCTATTGAAAATAATACGTTGAAGAATTATCAATGTTAATGTAAATTAGAAAGATATGTGCTATTATTACAAATCTTGTAGAGGTTGTACTTAAAAACGCTATAATACTATATTTATATTTATACACGTGTATTAACGAGGATAACAAAAATTAGGTATTCTCACTAAAAATATTTGTTATACTGTGAATGAGAAACAAGAAAAGAAAAAGGAAACAAAAATATTCTATTATTTATGTAATAATATCTAAGATGGTGGTAATTGTAAAGACAAGAAAGAAACAAAGTTTAGAAGAAAATTTATAGTATTTCTAGCTCATTAGCAATTTTATGTTCACTTTTTCTTTTTTGTTTTCTTATAAACTTTTTATTATTAATATATTAATTAAGGATTAAAAAAATAATGCATTTGACTGAAATCAAAATTATTTCTTATACATTCCAAAAGTTAAATGTGTGTTGTAATCGAGTTATAGATGTAATAATTGTCTATCAATGCATTACGCCGAACATTTATTTTTAGAATATTCATTTTATCATGATTACCACAAATATTTGTTGTGGCGCTTGAGAATGGTTAAAAATGTAAATCATATATATATATATAGTAAGAATTTTCTTGATAACTCTTTTAAAATAAATTATAATTGTGAATGAAATAATACTACTTTGTAAACACCGAATTTCATCTATACTTATAATCATTTTGTACGATAAGTAAAAATTGTGTACACATAGTCGAAGAATCCAACACAATCGGAATAATCGTGTTAATTCTATTCAAGAATAATATAAATGATAATTCCGATATATCGAAAGAGTATTTTTATTAATTTCTTAATCTAGTAAGTACCATTGCGCTGTCGAAAATTTCAATGGAGGACAACTCAACAATAATATTTCTTTATAATGAAATATAACTAAAATATTGAAAATCTAGTATCGTAAACGTAGTAATTAATTAAACAGAAAGCAATATTATGCTGTACAAATGTTTCTTAAATATCTCTTTACTAATCGGACAGTGCCTGAGAATAAAATAGCAAGATTAAAAAATATAATAAGAAATAATTGTGCGTTATAAGTATGAAAAAAAATGAAACATAAGAGATAACAACTTTGGCACTGACTTAGAGATTATTATTTCAAACTTTTGCGACTGATTATTTTATGTAAATTCTGTATAGTTTTATCGCATACTCTTCATAGAGTTTACATAATAACATATTTGTAATTTTGCTGTTTCCATCCTAGACGAACACGTTAGGAAAACATTGAGCATGATACTCAATATATAACATAAATTTATATGATTTTTTACATTTTAACGCGCTTGTACAGAATCGCTAAGAAACATGTGTACAAAAATTGAAAATATACAAGTATATTTATCTTAAATTACCAACAAATTAAATATATACAATATATAACACACATACAAACACGTACGTGCGGTTTCAAATAAATATTCTCTATGTCAATGTAATTTAACTCTATCGTCGTGTATACACATGCATGCTTTAATATTATGCATTTTATCAAACCAGATATATATAATTAAAAACACCAAGTATCAAATTACTTCATATAAATATTTACATTTTATCTTTATGTAATATAAAATTATGTTCAGTTTTGTATGTTCTCTTTTCTAGTCTAGAGTTATTCTCATTATTATTATTATTAATATTATTATATATATTACTATCATTATTATTATTATTTAATAATAATTTAGATTTTGATTGAATATACCTAGATTCTTTTTTAAATTATATATATAAATAATTAGACATAATTAATTTTATATCAAAATGTTCGTAATGAGATATGTATTATATATCGTTAAGTATTTCAGCAAATCAATGGAGCGTAAGTTATTAATTCTGTATAAATAAAAAAAGAAAAACAACACGATGATATTTGATATATTTCATATAAAAAAGGGAAAGTAATATTTTTTTTATAATATAATTATTGTACAGAGATAAATAATTTATTTATTGATTTTATACAAATCACTTGAACGTTGTTAAATATTTTTCAAACGTCGCGCGGTTAGGTGGCGCACTACTACGCAGTTCAGTTTCGTTAATTGTCATTTTTTGACAATACAATTTTTGTGTTAATTAATGTTTAGTTTGAGTTCTAAGTTTTTCATATTGAATAAAAATATGTTTTTAATAATTAGTTGAAAAGAAAAGGAAAGGAAAAGAAACACAATATGACTTCGGAAGAAGAGTGTCCTTGTACGGATACGTCTGAACCTTCAAACCTAACATCTTTACGTACCGACATAAGTTCGATGATAAATTCTTACGAATCTTATGAAAAAATTAACAAAGAAGAGAACAAATCAATCGAAGAATCTCATCAAAGTATGACTAATATGGTACAATTAAAATGAAAGTCGATAACATTAATAAATTATACGAATCCAATATGGCGGATATGAAGTTATACGGCATATCAATTTTATTTATTTTTTTTTTTACAAGGAATATATTAGTCACTAAAATACAAAAAAAAAAAAATGTTTATAATAGCAAACCAATATATCAGATTCGATTAAAATATGTTTCTTTTTATTTTATAGAGCCTGTAATTAATCAAGAATCGCAAGAAATAACAAATCATCGAGAAATAAGGCAATGCGAGCCTGTGATACCTTGTTATTGTCATGCCCAAAGAATGTAATATATATACGTACCTGTGGTAATATTAACAAATAAATGATCAAAATTTGGAAACAAATTGATGTTAATCTTTTTTTAGCAGTGGTTGTATATTACCAGCAAAATATACTAAAGGCAAGTATATCACAAATGTTTTATCTTTAAAGTTATTTTTTAAGGAATCTCTTTTCACAGATGATCGACGCAGACGTCGTTCGTTTTGGTCTCGTTTCCGTTGCAAATGGTCTTATAAAAAATATCTCCACGATAGAAGTCGATCTTACGAAAATAAATTACAACGGGGAAATACGTTTTACGAAAAGGTTCGATTTAATTAATTTATAATACAATTGTTGACGAAAAATTAAACGTTGTTGAAAAAAATGTATAACCTCATTTTTATAGCCTTCGAGTAAAATTACAAATGATCACCCGAAAATGAAGATCGAAGAAAGAATGAAATTTCAAGGAGACAAATTCCAAGATAAAAGAAAAAATCTCGTTGAGAGAATCGACATTTATTACTTCGATCATGGAAATTCTGCGTAAGATTTGAATTTTATTTGAATTTGGCGCCTATAGCGCGTCACTTGACGCAATCGGTAATACGTAGTTCAAGTTTCGTACTCTTTTCGTCGACATTTAAAAATTGTATAATTTAAATTTCTTTAATTTTAATTTACATTAGAGAGATAAAAAAAAAATCAACATAATGAATAAATAAATGTTATTTTTTGTTTCGTGTTACTAGATATTATCGAACAACGGATTCACCACCGATATTAATGACAGAGAAATGTGCTGAAAAAACTGATCAAGCGGCGACACGTTTTTGGGCTGAAATATTTGGCACGATTCACATAGGAACAGCATTTTTAACAGCTTTTATTCTACAATTCATAAGATTCATACTGTTCAGTCTTATACGTCCATTGACTGTTGGTATATTGCAATTATTTGCAGACTATTTCATGAAGCCTCTACTTTCGATAATATTTAACGCATTGATACAACCGATTTTAATACTCTTATACAATATAGCAACATCTATCAAAGACCTTAGCGAGCCATTGGCAGAAGCAATTGGTTTATTTTTAAGAGAGATAGCTAATCTTTGTAGATCTATTAGAATAATCGAGATAAAGTATGATAATAAGAGTTCTCCTACTTGAACGTGAGAAACAAATCATTGAAACGTATGTCAATCGGCATACCGAATGAGGATAATTTGGAAGAATTTTATTACGGCCAAAGGATTTACAACAAGTCGATCAAACGGTTACGATGATCGTTTCAACATGAAAATAACAGGATGTTGCCTTAACACCAGGTATATATTTGGTATTACTCTCTTTAACTTTACAATATTCTTATTGGTTCATTTATTTTTTTACGGAACAAATGATCTCTCTTATATTTCGTCAACTAATTTTCATCAATATAATCATTAATGAATTGATCATCTTCTTCTTTCTTCCCTTCTTCCTTTCTCATATATATCTTATCGTTATTAATAAATTATGTACAATCTCACAAACAACAAACGGAGGAACCTAATTACATCATTGTAGTTGTAGTTCTCACACTTCGCTATTTACAGGTACTACTTGGTTTTTACAGAATCGCTTCACTTTTTCTGTGTATACTTGTGTTTGTGTATGTGTGCATGCGTGTAATAAGTGTAATCTTTTTCCTTGTAAACTTTCTTTCACGTATATCCTATTTTTAAGAAATCAAACAAACGCCTATCGTCACCTACTCTCAGGAACTGCAACCTCTGGCATGCTGTGCATTGTGATCTAGCTGTTTGTGGTCGGAGTCTCCTGGATGGCTAAAGTTTGCGAAGGCGTGGATGATGAGTCACCTAAACAATAACAATAATGATAATAAATAAAGCATATAAAACGATCGTTTGACTATTTTATGGATTGTCTTTAAGTAAGTGTTATTACGTAATTCTAAATCTAATCAGGCAAATCTGTCCCTCTTCTTGTTTTTAATATTTTCAGATAAAATTTCTGATATATATTATGTGCTTGTGTACGTGTCGAAGATGAGATAATTTTACCCAAGAGAGCAGCCTCTAAGTCTCCTAGGATTTCCGTTTCCTTGGGATCGATAAGATTGAAGCGTTGATTAAGGAGAGTGAGGTGAGCGAATACACAATTGAGGTGAGCATGCAACCCCAAGAGTGCCACCTCTCGGAAGTGGCAGTGGTAAATGTGTGCCACCACGTGGTACAGTAGCCGCAGGATCTTACGCACTATTGATTCGAACGAACTTGGAAATTCATTCGCTGGAAAACAAATGACAAACGCGAATTAATTAACGTATATACTTTTCATATACTTTAAATATATATTTGTTCGCGGATAAATTAACGGCCTGTACCATCCATCCAGCTTACCATATTTAGTAGGAAATATAGTTTCATCGCTAACGGTGCGTTGTGTAAATGTCATAACATAATCTATATACTGTGGCGCTGCTACCCTCGTTTTTTTACCTTTTTCGTCAAACCATAAATACGTCCTGCGAAAGGATACATTTTTCTTGTTGTTTTATTTAATAATTAAATATATTAGTTATATATATAGAATTAGATGAAATATACCACCTCAGGCCGGGACCAGTCATATCTGGGCAACCAGTCATAGTGCAAAATTCAGATATAGTGCCATAAACGAGATTAATATGATCGAACAGTGCGAGGGTATGTGATGCCAACCACTCGTTATAATCCAAACCGGGTGGCAGATCAACTAGCATCCTTAAATCCAACTCGGGCAGCTGTCTTTCTAAAGCCGCCTCCTCCAAATAGAGTTTAGGATCTTCTGTAGTACCCGCATCTTTCTCCTTTCGTCGGGCTTTTCTGAAATCATTACCATCACATCCATTTCGATTATTCATTCATCAAAGTTATCTTTTTACTAACATTTATTTTTTTTTTCCTTTTATTTTTTTCTTCTTTTTTTTTTCTTTCTAATGAGACGATTCAAATCTACAGGTAAACGAGCGGCATATACAAATTCTGTCTATGTGAAATCGGAAAATGATAAAATAACAATCAAATTTTCTGTTTTTCATTGTAGTGTGTGTGTGTGTGTGTGTTTGTATGTTAACAAAATATGAATTAATATTTTTTTAAATTTCATTTTAGGTGTTACGGACACAAAAGCACAACGTAGGATAATCTTGATAAATTTTATTATTACTTGTGTTTAAATACAATGAACACATTATGGCGAACGATATTTATTTTGTAATATTATATAATTAATAATATAATAATAATAATAATAATAATAATAATAGTTTAAAGAGAGACGAAAACATTTCTCGATATGCTTATATTTTAAATCGAATTTATAACCGCGCCATTTTTAATTACGGACACCATGTTGTTTTCTTTTAACCAATCGAACGACGTAGGTGTAAGAGTGTTTTAACGATTCCCATTGGTCATCGTAAAATGCAAATTTATCACATGCAAATTTATGAGTAGTGAAATTAATATTTGTTCACGTCTACGGCAGGCCAAAAGTACATATACATACATACATATATGCATACATACGTATTATGTACATACCAGATGAAGATTAATAAATTTTATGTGGTTTATTATTGTTCTTTTTCTAAAGAAAAAAAAAAGCGCATGCCGCAGTCAGAATAAGCCACATTCCTTAAATTGGTATAATGGCACAGTATGACGTCACAAAAAGATGAAACAAAATAAACTTGGCGTTTCTCGACCCCCTTTCTCTTTCTCTCTTTCTTTTTATTTTTATTTTTCATTCGCGCAAAAAAGCAAAAGCCATGTCAACTGATAAAAATCATTTATCTTTCTTGTATTTTGTTTTAATTTGCGCAAATAAATTTGGCGCGGCAAATTGGCAAAATGTAAAAGAAGAAGCGCAGCAAAATGGCGACGAGGAAGACGAAGGACGAAGACGAAAACGAAAACGACGATGACAACGACAACGACGATGACAACGACAACAACGACGACGACGATGACGACGATGACGAAGAGGATTATTCGATTGCTTTGGCCGCCATGCAAAAGTGAAATAACATAATTGACATAGAAATAAAATTTTGGCGCACATATTCGCAGGACATAAAAAAAAGAGCAAATATACATATATATATATATATACGGACATATATATATATATGTAGACATTTATAAATATGATATATATTTATGTGTATATGGGTAGACGTTTTCTAAAGAAACGCTTCGATCCTTTTTAGTTATTGGAGAGATATGAGATTGGCTTACAAGATCGTTCTTTTCAAGATCAGTACGTTGAAATTTATTATTTTAATAATAATAATAATAATAATAATAATCATCATCATCACCATCATCATCAGCAATATCGAGTTGATAACCACTGACTTGAAAAAGAAGGCTCTTATATAAATTTTTTAATTTAAAAATGCGTGTATTTATATTAAGTTGATCACCACTGGCTCAGAAAATAATATTTGTCATATATATATATATATATTTTTTTTTTTAGATCTCGTGCATTCGAAGCGTCTCCCACCGTCCTTATTTTTTTGTATTGTTTTGTTATTTAGTCAGGCCATCTAAAAGAAGAAGAGACACGATCGTTCGGACTGGACTCACGCGACGAGCTCGCCGAAGAGCCTGATTTTCCTGTGGCAGGTGTCGAGAAGGGAAAGTCGGGAAGATGAGCTTGCTGGGGTAGTTGTTGTTGTACTATTACTACCACCACCACCACCACCACCACCGTAATGAACAGGAGTGGCAGGTGCTGACATCGTCGATGAGGACGATGATACACCTGAAGTTACGTTGTTTCCCTCCTGATGGAGTACAACTCGAGCAGGTGAACGTAACATTGTCCCTGTGGCCGACGTCACCGTAGTAGCCGTTATAGTAGCTGCCGAGGATGACCTCTTCGGCGGGCCACCGACGATACCACGGAGGACGTCGTGGCCAAGGATTTTTTCACGTACACTCGGTATGCACCAAATCTTGATTGATTAGTTCTCATTGAACCCCTATGTAGCTTAGAGCGACTGACGACTTACGCCAATTGCTCGAGCTCACTTCGAGGTTCTTATCTTTTAAAAAGGATTTTTAATATATCCCTCCCTTTTTTTTTTTTTTTTATTTATATTTATATTTTATATATTATATTTGAAATAAGATTTAATTTTTTGAATAATTTTATTATTTAGGGTCGATGCAAAAACAAGAGTTTCAATAAGTTCGTAAGTCTTTCATAGTATCTTCTTCTTGATCTTTTATTATTTCCTTCGGCCATATTTGTTGATTACTCTTCTTTTTTCTTTTTGTTTTGCTTTTTTTCTTCCGTTAAGATTAATAAAATTTTCAAGGCCTTTGGATTGTTTTGAAAATGAGAAGAAGTCTAAATCATTTTCTCAATCTATTATTTTATATCTTTCTCATTTCTTTTCCCTTTTCTTTTTTTTTTAGGTTAGGATGCTTTTCCAATTGTCTGGATTCACGCCAAAACAGTCTTCCTTCTCTGAGATATTACCACGCTACACCACTGACGTAGAGAACTATTCTTCTCTTCTTTCTTTGTATTTTTATTTATTAGAATTTTTTATTTGGATGCCATTTGGGGGCTTAGATCGATTGAACTTTCACATTAAACGTTTTTTTATTATTGTTACCATCAACATCATCATCATCATTATCATTATCATCATCATCATCATCATCGTCGTCGTCGTCGTTGTTGTCGTCATCGTTATTATTATTTTTCAGATTCAACTCGAAAGTACAAAACGTAGACAGCTGAGAGAAAGATTTGATTGAAATTGAAATTGTTAATATCAACGAATCGAAGAAAATAAGAACAAGAGAGAAAGAGAAGAGGATACCAAGGTTAAGGAAAATGTTAGAGCAAAAAATTGACGAGTTAAACAAATTTTTAAATATATATATATACTAGGAGAAATAGAAAAAAGGAGAATATTTTATTCACTCGTTAAAAAAAAATCACACAAAAAAGAAATAAATTAATAATAAAAAGACACGTAAAAGATAAGAGGAGGAGGAGGAAGAAGAAGAAGAAGAAGAAAAAGAAGAAGATGATCGGTACCGAGCACCAACAAAATTGAATGTTCTCAACGTCTTTGAGACAACGAGAGACTGACGTCCCTCGTGGAGGCTTCGTGTGCGACTGCCGAGAAAGATAGAGAGAGAGAAAGGGAAGAAAAAGGGAGAGAGAGAGAGAGATTCGACGCGTACCAGTTTTGGTCCTACACTGCATCGTGACGCCGCGATTCTGCAGCGAATGCTGGAGGAATATTCCCGGAAGATCCAGAAAATATATCATTTCATTATATTTTACAAAGAAGAATATAAATAAATCTAATTTAGTCAAAAGAAAATAAGAAAGATAGATATTAAAAATGAAAGAAAAATCATGTTTGAAAACTAAATACACACATTCTACATATTTTCTATATAAAAAATTCAAACAATATTAAACCAATCATCTATCTATATAATTAGAAAACAAAAGTTAGACGATCAATGAAAAGTATCAAAAAAGAAAAAAGAAAGAAAGAAAAGATAAACAATTATAGGAAAGTATAGTACAATCATTGGCAACGAATTTTCTTTTGAATTATTTGTTATGACATATGATATATGTAATATGCCGTTGAAGGGGTATATTTAAGGGATGAATAAAAAGGGCGGATGAAAGGAAAGAAGGGGGTGGTTAAGGTGGGGGCAAGAGAGCGGCAATGCGACGGTGGTTGCGCCGCCAATGGATCAGCTGTGAAACCGGCAACTCAAGTCAGCTGACTGTTCGGCCCTTCCCCACCTACCCTTCTCCTTCTCTTTTCACAGTCTTCTTGTACACATTGCGAGAGAGAGTCTCTGCGACAATCAATATTCCGCTCTGCCCCCGCAAATCAATTCTGCGACGCTCTTTCAACAATACCGGCTATTTTTTTCTCTCTCTCTCTCTTTATCTCTTTTAAAATATTTCTTAGAATAATATATATAAGTATATGAGTATGATTTATGCATGGAATAAAATTGGAAAGTAACAGAACAACACGTCAAATGTAAGATAATTCGAAATTTCATTTACAATCTAATTTATAATCATATAACATTGTTAACACATATGTAAGCTTTTTGGGGGGGTAGTGTTTCGAGCCAAACTTTTTATGCGAAAACCGAGAAGATTTCGCGGCTTTTGTTTCAATCGTATTACAATTAGGAAAAAGGAACGCTGATATATAACTTTGAAGATAAATAATATTTTTATATCAAAGAAGTTTTGATAATTGTTATAAATTAACTTGATCACATTATAATGTGTATATACCTTTTTCAAATTCAATTATCCAGATGTTTTCAATCTAATGTGATATGTAGCTATATTTATATTTAAATATATGAAAATCTCAATTAAGCATATATGTCATTAGACGCGCGAATATTTTAATTAGAAAAAAAAAATAAAGAAGAAGACCCCACCCCAATTTGAAAAGGATTGATAGGAAGATTTAAATATGGCGCCTATTTCTTTTTTTTTTTAAAGAGGGCGTGGTACGCGTCACGTGATTATCTCTACAACTTCTTCCTCATCGATTATTCGTTCGATATTCGACAATTTTTTTGATTTATATTTTCTTCCTTAAACAATGAGCAACAGAATAATTATCTATGATTGTTAATTCAAGAAGATAATTATCGTTCCTTTACGTGAAAAAAAGATATATAACTTAATCTATTTTTAACCTATATATATATCTAACAAACAATATACATTATTTTATACGAAGAGGATGAAAGAAAAGAATCAAATGATGGGGGAAGGGAAAGAAAAACAAAAAAAAAAAAAAAAAAAAAAGAAGAAGTAAATAATATCGAGTTGAATGGAAAGTGAAGATCCTGTGTTGGCGCCAGGACTCAATCGAACTTGTTTTCCTTTCGAGCAGCTAAAGGATTACGAGAGAAATAAAGAGAGAAAGAAGAGAAGAGAAAAGAAGAGAAGAGAAGAGAAAAGAAAATAAAAGTCGATCGATGTTAGGGGAATGGCGCCTTCCTGGCGCCTCTCTTCATCACCCTCGAGACATTATTTCGTCCTACACGTTTGTTTACAAGCGTCATTCTACTCTACCACAATTTTATCTAAATCGTTGATGCATTCAACCGTTAAAAGACTATTCCCATCGTTTTCGTCATATTTCCTTTCAAACAACTGCTATTTTCCCCATTGATCTCGCTAGGGACATCATCTTCATTTCTACTCTATTTTATTCTATACAGGAAACAGACACACACATATATAGAGGATTTAGTTACTTTCTTTTCCTCATCCCAACTCTCTATTTTCTCTTTCACAACCCTTTTCTTTTTTTTTTTTACTCACTTAGATCGATTTCACGTCTTCGTGATTCTTTTTCTTATATTTTTCTTCTTTTTTTTTTTTTTTCATTTCTTCTTTTTCTTCTTCTTCTTCTTCTAAGCGTATATTTATTATTAATTGACTCGTGTTCCTCAAGGGTTTCATCCTTTTTGTCATAAAGGTTACTTAGAAAAGGTTTCCTTGTTCGAAGGACAAGACCGGTATTAATTTACTAGTAGGATAGAGAAATTAGAAAATAAAAAAAAATAACGAATAGAAAGTTGGTTCTCATCGTAATCTCAATTATGAGATAGAAGTACACGTTTATGCATTTGTTATGACGAAAAGAATGTAAATTAAATGTTAGGAACAATTTTTTTTATTTTTTAATATATATGTATATATATTTTATGTGAAGAAAGTTACATTATCGACTGAGTTGGAAGTCGAGGTAAAACCATTTAATTAAGTCAAGTGTACCTGCTACCAGTAACAAAGTAAAAATCCTTGAACAAAAACAAACTTTTCTTGCCTAAAGAAATTGTTATATATATATATATATATAAATTATCTACTTTTTTTTTTTTTTTTTTTGGTACGTAGATGAGAATTTTCCATACCGTGAAAGTTTTCGTTACACTCTCACGATCGTCAAGATATCTCGAGAAAGTAATCAAAGAAAACCATGACTCGAACGACAACACAATAATAACGAAAGTGGGTCTTCTCTCTTTCTCACTCACTCTCACTCCCTCTCTTTTTCTTTCTCTTTCAATAAACACATCGACGAAAATCGGTAGTGAACTATACTTTTAGTATATTTAATTGTCCATAAGAGAGAGAGAGAGAGAGAGAGAGAGATGATTATATAAAAACCAGTTAGTCTAATTTCGATGCCAAATTCCTGACAATGACAAATCGTTTGAGATGTTTATTCCATTGCGAATTATCACGATATTTCGTTAAATTAGAAAATTTTGAATTTGCCGCGTATCGATAAGGGACTTGCAGATGTCACGTGACTACGAGAAGTTACTTGACCACTACCCCGTGTATCGCGGGAAATTTCAAAATAAAATCTATCGAATATTTTTCAATTTTTCAATTGATTATTTTAACGTTAACAAAGACAAATATTATAATAATAAATGTCAATTTTGGCAAAGATTGAAAAGATAAGGTGGTGTTAACAAGAGCGAAATATGTTTTAAAGCAATGGCTCCTTCTTCTCCTCTCGCTCTCGGGGCCAAATATTGACTTAACCTTAATCATTGAACATATCATTGGCGCCAAGTAAGATTTCTAGACGACGTAATAATACTGCGTCATCTACGTAAATATATATCTGAGACAATGATTCTACGAAATTTATTGATGTTGATAGGTTACGTTATTTTCTTTTTTTTTTTTTTCTCCTTTGATTTTTATAGGAACAAAGAATAACATCGATCACAACAGGAAAAACCGATTCGAATTGAAATAATATTCTTGCTGATTTTCTCAATAATTATATAAATACTATTCCTATATATATATTCGCGATATACGTACATGTATAAAAAAAAAAGTAAGCCTTTAAAATTTTCCATTATTTTTATCGAGAAAAATAAGTTAACAAGTTAAACAAGAAGTTGATTTGATTAAACACGTACGTTACGGAGATAATTTTGCGAACACACAATAAAGTATCTAATCAGATGTAAATAAGTACGATATTAAGACAATAATTCAAACAATATTTTTTGTCTCTTAAG